GTATGGTGGTATATATATGTACGGTGGAGTATGTTCGTACAGTAGTGTATGTGTGTACGGCGCTGTATGTATGTGCAGTATTGAATGTATGTACGGTGCGGTATTTTATTGTATCGTAAGGAATGCAACGTTACAAGTTGAAAACAAAAAAATATAAACCGATTGAATCAAATTTCAAACTAAACTTCGATTATTCATTTTAATGACTGGAAAAAAGGCTTTGTTTTATGACGATGCTTACAGCCGGGTCCACTTTTTATCCGCCATCGGTGGCTTATTGTCAGGAGCTGACGAAGTGATCCCCTCTTCTATAGTGATGCCATTAAATTTTAGTGGACTCCACTTAAACAAGTCACCTGGTAAAGAAAAACAACACATCAAGCCAGGACCGTTTGGTTAGATGATCGAATTGTATGTATACTAGAGAGCTGCATGAATACATAAAAAGGTAACATGTTAATAATCGGCGATGCCGATGCAGCGAGTACATGCTACTTAACTGTAAATTTAGCATCGCAGAATCGCCGCATCGTTGGCATCGTCAAGATAGTAACATGTTACTAACATGTTAGTAACATTCCGTTCTTTATGAAATCGTTGGAAGAGTGAGCAGAAAGAGTGCAAACTTTGTATGTACGTACATATACAAAGCGAGAGCATGCGGCAGCTGTGCTGGTCACTGTTCGGACTACTAAAATACGATTTAGGAGTAAATCACTCTTAAATCGAGAAAATCTAAATTCCCGTAGTAGATTTGTTTTTTTGTTATCGCATTCATGCGAATAAAAAAATTTCCAAAATTCCAAGTGCAAGTGATTAGAAAATTTCACTAATAATTCCTTTAACTGGAAAAAGCGTCAAGAAATCTCGCTTGAAGTCTTAGCTGAATTGCATGAAATAGGAGATCATTTTAAGAATAATTTGTTACGTACTACAAATAAAATAAAAAAAAATAAATAAAATAAAAAATAATAATCTTTTGGCAATCGCTACAACTGACGATCAAACCTGGCACCTACCGACTTGTAGCACGCAGCTCTCACTACGCAGCTAACGCGGATGCGAAACTCGCATGCTTTGTTTGCTTACTTGTACAAAAGACAACAGCTGACTGTTTCTACCAGTGTTGTCATCAAAACTTCCCCTTATCCGAGTTAGTTCCCAAAAATTTCGTGCATTTGTTCGGCTGCTTAGGCGCATTTGTTAATGCAAATAAAGGCTGTTTATGCAGATAAGCGAGCCCGTTTATAACCCGTATTAATCAACCATAATCGGAGTAAAACTGGATTGCTGAGTCTACTTAAATTTTCTTTCAAAAATAAAGTTCACCTATTGCATTATCTAAACCTAAAACAAAAAATAAAGTCGTTTTGTCTCCCGTTTTAAAACTAACAGAAGCATACGGAGGGTTATTAAAAAAAAAAAGCTAAATTTTCGTATTACCTACTTGTATATATATACATCTATGTAAATATGTGTATGTAGACTGTCCAAAAAAAAAGGAAAAACACACAAATTCCCTTTTTTGTTATTTATGTTTTTGTTAGAATTTAACAATTGCTTTTAGTTAAGTTCAGGTAGTTTAATAAATCAACTAATAATATTGAACAAAGTATGTACATATATGCAAAAAAATGTGCCTACTTATGATCGAATGTTTAGGCTGAACAGTTATGCGAATGTACATTAGTTACTCTGCGGTATACATAGGCAGCTGCAATAAACTATGAGCTCACATAATAATGCAATGACACAGTGACTCTTAAACATAATCATAAGTGGATCGTAAACATTCCGCCAGCCTTGAAGGAAGTTCAACAGTCTTTCGGTAATGGATATAGCTTAGTAATCGGCCTTTTGTATGTTCCAGTCTGCGTTTTTACGGGAGCTACCCAAGTTAATCCGTCAGGTCCAGGGAGAGTTTCGATCACGCGCCCTAATTTCCAGCATGTGGGGGGTAGATTTACGTCCCTTAATAATACGACAGATCCTAGTGGAAGATTCGGTTGTTCTTTAAACCATTTAGATTTTGGCTGTAGTGAGCATAGATACTCTGATGACCATCGGTGCCAAAACGACAGTGTGAGTTGTTGAATTAGCCTCCATCTGGTCAATGTGGAGGTTTTCAGGTGAGTTACATCAGTTTCCGGAAGGGCATCTAGTGGTCGCCCGATTAAAAAATGGCCTGGGCATCCCAAGCTCCCCCGAAATGAGGAGCGCCCGGGAGAATGAAGTGCCATTGTACACCTTTGGATGATAAAAAATTTGAAATATTAGTAGAGTCAGATGTTACCAATTTTTGCAGCTCTCCCAGTTTTTTTGTGGCACCGACAAAATTCGTTCCGTTGTCGCTGTGAATATGTGCACATAAACCATGTCTGGCCACAAATCGCTCCAGAGCTGCCATAAAGGCTTCTGTGCTCAGATTGCTCACCAGTTCTAGGTGAACGGCTTTTGTTACTAGGCAGATAAAAACCGCTACATAAGTTTTTATAAGTGGAGTTTTTCGACCCATTTGTTGTTTACAAAGGATAGGCCCAGCATAGTCACATCCAACCTCGTAGAATGGACACGTAGTATTTACGCGATATTTCGGCAAATTTCCCATAAGTTGGTTGTTAGCACGGGAGTTGTGACGATGACAAACCCCACAGTTATATATTACCGTCTTTACTATATCACGCGCCCCAACGATCCAATATTTCTGCCGCAGTGTCGCCAGTAAAAGGGTAATACCCGCATGCAGGTTTTTCAGATGGAGTTCACGAACAATTTTCAAGGTAATTGGACTATCCTTATGAAAGATTATTTGATGTATATTGTCGTAACATAGGTCAGCAGCGTTGAGTCTGCCACCTACCCGCAGCACATTAGTGGAGTCTAAGAATGGAGAAAGACGTCTACGATGTTTGTTTGAATTCACAATTTTGACTTTGCGTATTTCTTGATATGCTTCATGAAAAATGATTTTTTGGTAATACTCAACCTTAAGCAGCCTTCAGCTCATTGATACTCAATAAGGTCATTTTCTCAAAATTAGGCCTCCAATATCTGCAAGCCCTTAAGCAATACGCAACACCCTGACCATCTTCGACCAACTAGATATCCGCCCCTTAATAACAGCTATAACATCTATTTCCCATCTCATGGTTGTTAGCGTTATTTGTTTCACCGATCGAAGCTCTCCGGTGGTTTGGTGATTTAAAGTATTTTCTTTGGGCCAAGGTAATTCTTCTTGTCGTAGCCAGTGGGATTATGAAACCACATTGTATGATCAATTAGCAAGGATGGCCTTAGACCCCGGCTCGCGCAGTCAGCTGGATTAGTTTTTGTAGGCACGTATCTCCTTGGCTTGTGGAATAGTATTGCGTATATATGACGTTCTATTACTAATGAAGGTGTTCCATTTCCTTGGATGTGCTGAAAGCCAGGCCAGAACCGTTTTGCTGTCGGACCAACACCATATCTCTCGGCATTTTATCTCGATTGCGGTGAGCGGATTAGCGGTACCGCGGTTTTCGCAATCTCTATTTCTCTCAATCGTGACCAAACCACATACATATTTCTCTCTATTCTCTTCTCTTTTTAAGCACAAAAATAAACAAGTAATTTTTAAGCAAAAACAATTAGGAGTACCGTCAATTTTTTCATGATCCAACGATCGGATCTAAACCAGATTAGTATGGGACCCCCTCTGAGACTCTACCCTTGCGATGCTAAAAGAAGTTTCGAAATCGGTTGACGGAGCCAGCGTAATGCGGTACTATACATACAACAAAAAAAAAATTAAAAATATTCCGGCGAATTGATAACAACCTCCTTTTTTGAAGTCGGTTAAAAAAGTGCCTTTGCCAGCTTCAGGCAAGCGCAAAGCGAAATTTATGTACAAGCAGCGCTGCGCCCAATGCGAAATTTATGTACGAATGTACAAGCAGCGCTCCGTTCAAAACAAACAAAAGTTCTGAACACATTGAAAACGACGAGCTACAGACCACAGCTTCCAATTTGTTATCTTCATTATCTAAACGCTTTGTCGATGGCGACATGATTTCTTTGAACGCGGCAGCTAGCAAATAAGCGGCACATAATTCCCGCCGGGGAATAGACAGTTCAGAAATTGTAGCTACTTTGGTTTTAGCCATAACTAAGCGAGTGGAGATTGTACCAATTGCGAGCTGTGTGCGACAGTAAACGACTGCAGCGTAGGCATTCGTGGATGCATCACAGAATCCATGAAATTGAATACTTTCTTCTGTTGAGTAGGTAAGTCTAGGAATGCTTATCTTTTTTAATAAATGGAATTCTTCAAAATGTATTCTAGCTTCGTTAACTATGTCGCTGGGTATAATGTCATCCCACTCTAAATTTAATAGCCACAGTTTCTGTATAATTATCTTTACTGCTATGATCGCAGGTGAGATCCAGCCCAGGGGATCATGCAGCTTTGATATTTCGGAAAGCATATTCCGTTTCGTCTCTAACTTAAACACCTTTTCACCAACTTTATACCAGAAGCAGTCAGTTTTCGGATTCCTAACCATTCCGAGGAGATTCACTGTGGTTTCCGATGGTATACTTACAATAGACTCAATTTGGTTTGCCTCCGGTATATCGCGCAGAATCCTATCGTCATTACTAGTCCATTCTCTCAACTGGAACCCGCCAGCCAACTTGTTTGTGAGACAAGTTTTTGAGTGCCAGATATGGTGTTGGAGCCTGCCATGCAATCATCGACGTAGAAATTATTCTTTATTATTTCTGCCGCCAACGGAAAATTTATTTTTTCTTGTTCACTAAGCTGATGGAGGGTTCGAATTGAAAGGTACGGAGCGGATGAGGTTCCGTAGGTTACCGTTGTGAGACGGTACTGTTGGATTTCCTGGTTAGTAGATTCCACAAAATTCGTTGATAGTCGCGATCACATTCCTGTACCTCAATCATTCGAAACATTTGTTTAATATCTGCAGCGAGGCAATACCTAGTACAACGAAAGCGTAGAATTACAGAGATATCGGACCCTTCAGTTGATTATCGTTAAAAGATGTCCCATTATTTGTCTTGCCATCAAAAACTACACGTAGTTTTGTGGTTAGGCCGTCACCTTTTATCACAGCATGGTGTGGAAGATACACAAGGTTTGGCGTGTTTAATGACGGCATGAGCTCCATGTGTCCTGACGTCAGATAGTCACGCACGAATGCGACATAGGCCTGTTTCAATGTCACGTTGTCTTTGAATTTACGTTCCATGGAATGCAATCTTCTTAATGCAGCGGAATACGAAGTTCCAATGTCAGGAATGGACGTCTTAAAGGGTAGTCTTACACTATATCTTTCGTTATCAATACGAATCGTTGTTGAAGTATAGATATCCTCTGCTCGTTGCTGCTCGCTAGTTAAAGGAAGCTTAACCGTAGGAATATTCTCAATTTCCCAAAAATTACGTAAAGTCTGATTTAAGTCTTCGTTAAAAACGATTTGGTTGGTTAAGTTGCAAAGGCTATAGTCATTATGAGTACTAAGAGTACTGCGACCACACAACACCCAATTAAGGGCGGTGTTTTGTGCAATAACGTGATCATGTTTCTTAATTTGTCCATTTCGCAGTAAGGTGCAAAAACAGTCACTACCAACTAGTATATCGATAGATTTAGGCGTATCGAAATGTGGGTCAGCCAGGGGCAAGTGTTTTATTTCATACCAATAAGATAAAGATACAGGTGTAATAGGTAACTGTGACGTTGGATTCTTAAAAACGTAGTTTTGGGTAGAAATTAATTCGGTGGAATGAATGCCGATGACTTCAAGGTGCACAATCCCTTTACTTGTACCTGCCTTAACGTCGTCCACTCCCTGTATGTAGATTTTACCTGCTTTCCGAGGTAGACCGAGCCTCTGGACTAATGATTCGGTGATTAAGATATTTTGGGAACCCGAATCTAGTAGCACGCTGCATTCTGAAAATTTCCCATATCGACCTTCACTAGTACCTGCGCAGTAGTAAGTAAAACTTGGAGTGTTGGACTAGAGGTAGTTGGAGCTGTAAAACTTAAGTACGGGGTAATGTTAGTGTCACTGCTTTGCTTTACGTCATTCGTAGTCATGACACTCGGATTGGAGAGATTGCAAACAGCTTGGCTAGATGCGCTAGGAGTTGAGTCTATAGTTTCCTCGTGCTGGTCTTTATATAGATGAATAGATGAGTGATGTTTTCCTTTACACGATTGGCAGATGTATTTAGATTGGCAGTTTTGAGTTGCATGGTCCGGCTTCATACAGTTGAAACATAGACGTTTCTCTTTTATGAAGTTAATCTGCTTTAGAATAGTCATTTTCCCAAACACCTGACAATAGGCGAGATGGTGGTGTTGAGAGCAAGGAGGGCACGATTTGCAGAATGATGCAGTGTAATCACGCATAGTTTTATGTTTCACAGCTGGCATCCGATCGAGTGGTGTATTTCTTGGTACTGTTTCAAGGGCTGATGCCCTCGTTCGTTGATGAATTTCATAAACTGATCAATAGTAGGAAAGAGGGGTTTTTCCGCACTTCTCAACCCGAGCCTGATACGTGTCAAGGTCAACCTTTTGGAACAGCAGATGTATTGACCATGGATCTCTCTTCTCCGTCTCAGCTCCCTGTGCTCGAAGCCCTCTTATGACTTCGTCTGCTACATTGGACACATTACGTAGTGAGTTTGCTCGATTACATTCAGCTTTAGGTATATTTAAAAACGTTAAAATTAGCGAATTCACAACCGGAGATGGTTTATCATATCGCTCTTTTAGCTTAGCGCGAGCTTCCTCGTAATTTTCTTCGGTCACAGCAAGGTGTCGTATTAGAATGGCAGGATCGCCCTTCAATAACCCCTTCTAGTACTGGAGCTTTTGAGCGGACGACAAATTAGCATTATTGTGCCCGCAGCTGTCAAATAAATCAATAAACGATTTGAAATCGGAGTATTTGCCTTCGAAGGGTGGTATACTTAGCTTTGGCAATCTCACATCAGCAACAGCTTGAACACTCACATTCGTAGAAGATGACGAGTCTCTATTATCTGAGGGAGTAACGGGCGGTAGTCGCACGGCTAGTTGTTGCTTAGTCGATATTTTGTCCAAAAAAGCAGACTGGGAATCAATAAGCTTTTGCAAGGCATCACTTTGCATGGTTGTAGAATGCACAGGATCATTATTAGATAGCCGTGATCTTGCATTTTACACGAAAGTGATTTTCTTCGAACTCTTTCAGCTCTTTTTCACGTTCGGAGCAGGCCTCTTCTGACAACGCCATTTCCATGTCTAATGAAATGAATTGCTCGTAAGTAGTTTCGAGTCTCTCTAATCGAGCGCGAATTTCATGAAGCGAAGTTGTTGGGTAGACTTAAGCTCTTAAGTTGACCTCTCTTCAATCTTAACTTGTTCATTTTTTGTCATTCGGGAATTAGATTAATTGGAAAATTATTTGTTTCAGCGGGGAAGATAGTATTTCATGCAAATAAGCAGCGAATTATACCACAGGTGAAGCGTGTCACCTTTTGCACTTTGAAAATTTGACAATGTTCAATCATCCGATCGATCACGTCGAGGTCACCAAAAATGTTCATAAAAAAAGGAAAAACACAAATTCCTTTTTTTTCGTTATTTGTATTTTTGTTAGAATTTAACAATTGCTTTGAGTTAAGTTCAGGTAGTTTAATAAATCAACTAATAATATTGAACAACGTATGTATATCGTAGCCAGGTAGTACGACTGACTACCGCAGTGCAAAAAAAAAGTGCCTACTTATGATCGAATGTTTAAGCTGAACAGTTATGCGAATGTACATTAGTTACTCTGCGGTATACATAGGCAGCTGCAATAAACTATGAGCTCACATAAATAATGCAATGACACAGTGACTCTTAAAAGTAATCATAAGTGGATCGTAAACATAGACGAATAATGTATAAAAAATTACGGAAATTTATATTCTACTACGATTTACTCTGATTTACTCCGATTTAAGCACGTCCGAGTTCTAACTCTGCTGAGTGGTGCTCTCAACGCACACAGTCTGACTCATTGAATTGTTAGTATGCCGACCACCGATTCAAAGTATTCCAACCGACACAAAAACTAAAGTTCGATTTGGCGAAGAATTTGTGAAAGTACAGGTTCCTTAAATAGTTCCCTGGCTCTATAATTTTTCATAAAAGGGAAGTCTTTCAGAACGACTTAGTTTAACAAAATGTGTATTACAAATTTCATATAAAAATAAAAACTTCTTCCTTTTTTATATGGGAAGACCAAAATAGCAATGGGACAGGGAAAAACATACGTTTGAAAAAATATACAAAGTGATCCGCTAACGAAACGTTTTATTAGCTCGGGATGTAACTATGTAATATTGATGCGCCTAAAAGATGCAGCGATTTCTATTCTCAAGTTACATACCTGATGACAGTACGAATGGCAATTATAATAGGGAGGTTTAGTTTTTTAAACAATAATTTTGTTTATTCATAATCTTGGTACCCGCTTGCCACAAGTTTTGTATGAACTTTACAAAAAATACCCAAAGCCATAAGTAGCGTGTTTTTAATACACATTGCTTTTAGATTTTTATTTGCATGCGTTTACTGCAAACGAAACACAAAATGTATGGCCCTGAAAGAGAACTACAATTTGAGTTAATAACTGATGGTAATATATATGTAAAATTGCTTTAGGATTTTTATAAGAAGAACACAAATGACAAGCTTTATTTCAGAATAATTTGATTCTAGCTATATAAATATATAAGAAATTATCCAAAAGTAATGGATAATATTTATACAGTAATCTATTTTTTAGAATTATATACCTATTTATGTGAAAGCACTTTTTTATGAAAATAATAGAAACTAAACATTGAAAGATTTTATACCAATAAAATGGTACCCAAGTATTAAACAGTCAAACGTTTTTACATTTTTACAAGCATAAAATTTTTGATATGAAAAATTCCCTTAAACTAATAGTTATTAGTTACTAAAAAGTTCTAATATCCATTGCTTCATTATACGTATAAGCAAAAGAGGCCAAAAAGCCATGCACGAGAAATATCCACTATTACTACATTTATAAAATGTGGCAACCATGAGCGTGATGCACTAATAACACGACAAAATGGCACTGCCTCCGTGTGCCCATCATCAGTGTTACCAGTTGAACTATTTTGTAGGTATTATTTTCGATGTTTAGCTATAGAAATTTCCGTTTAGCTATTAGCTTTTTTAAATCGAGTTAGCTCTTTTAGATACATTTTTTTTTATAAATTCCCCACTTTACATAGAGTTTTATCATTTTGATGAATATCAAACAGTACACAAAAAATTGGTATAAATGGTAGCTTAATATCAGTATATGTACTTCCGAAACTATAGTAAAACTTCATTCGTACATTTTCTCTCTTATGTCAGGTTCTTTTAAAAGGACCTTGTAATTTAAAAGATATGATTGTTTCAAACAACTATTTAAAAAATTCAATGCAATGTAGAATAACAAATGAAAGAGGAAATTCTGCGGATTAAAACAAATAAAATTTTTTGGTTAACGAGGACGAATGGGTATTGAAAATTAATTGATTAAATTTATTTTTTTATTTATCACTCCTACTTTATGCTATCGTTTCTGCTAAATTGAAATATGTTTAATTTCTATGACTTTATGAATTAATTTATGCTGAAGTAAATAAAAAACTTACTATGCAGGTATAATTAATATGGTTTTGTGATTATCTGGTCACAGTGCTATTGACGATGCAGGCGCTGCTAATTTATTAGCTGAATTATTACTCTGCAATGCTGTTACTAATCGACGATGGTGTTAGTAATTGTACGATGCGACGATGCGGCGATGCCGAGTAACTTCGCTACTTTGGCATCGTGGTAATCGTCAGAAGTCTTAGTTAATAACGTACCCCTACGATACTAGCATAATCGTGCAGGCCCCTGATGTATACTAACAAGATTTTTTTTGGATTGAAATTCATTTATATCACAAATGAGCTATGCCTTTCTTTCTCACCAGTTCCTAATACTCATTGTTTTGGTCTTTCCCCAAAACACTACTTTCGGCTCATTCGCGTGCGCCAGTTCCAACCTGCGGCGCTGCAGTCATCCCTACCGTTTTAGTTTGGGCGCCATATTATTTGTAACGTACACGTACCTGTTAATCCGCCCTTCTCTTCTTTTGCTATCAATGTGATAACCAGTACTAACTAGCTCAGCATTTGTGTTTGGTGTGGTTCCCAACCCTTGGCCACATTGAAGCAGGGTGGATGTTATAATCATCTTCGGCGCCTTTCGTCTCACAGGTCCTTGGACCGCTCGTTACGGTAGGCGATTTCTTGCGGTTCCCTTTTTTACCTTACTCCAATCGTCTCTTACCTAATACCCCTAGTCATCTTCCCCCTCCATTCTATCAAAATTTAACCAATCGTTTTAGACTTCATTCTTTATTCAAAATATGGTACAATACAAATTTATTAACCAGGGACCGTAACGGTTATAACTTTTATTATAAGAATCTCTTTTTAATCGTTAATAACTGAGTTTTATTTTTTGCTCAAAACATAACGATTACTTTTTGGAGTTAAATTTTTTGCTCAGAAAAGAATCGTTATTTATAATAATGGTTAATGTTTTATTTTCTGAGCAAAAAACAAAACTCAAGAAATAACGATTATCTTCCGAGCAAAAAATAAAACTTAAAACGGAAATATTATTTTCCGAACAAAAAAAAAAACTTAAAACTTAACCATTATTTTCCGAGCAAAAAATAAAACTTAAAATGTAACCATTATTTTCCGAGCAAAAGATAAAACTTAAAACAACGATTATTTTCCGAACAAAAAATAAAATCCAGAACATAGCGATTATTTTGTGAGTAAAAAATAACACTCAAAAAATTAAAAAAATAGAAATCAGTGCCGCTGAAGATATTCCCAGTAATAAGAAATATATTGGTTTGCTCCTTATGCACGTAGTATTTCTCTTTCAGTGTAATTTTTTGAGTTGAAATTTCAAAGATAATCGTTATTTGCGGTCCCTGTTATTAACAAAATATTTAAGTTTCATAAAAATTGCATATAAGTATGTACATGTGTATGGTGACATTATTATGTATGTTTATAGATATATATATATATATATACAGGGTGTCCCAGAAGTAATGTGCCAAACTTTAGGGGAAGTTAGGTGGGGGGGTGAGCTCCCTGATAAACAAAAAGTTTTCAGGTAAAAGTGCCACCGTTTTTTAAATATTTACATTTTTTCGAATTTTAAAAAAATTGTGCCTTTTCATGTGTTTTCTTTAACTGCAACTAAAAACCGGGCAATACTTAGTAAATTTTTTATGTAAAACACTTCCAGATAGTTGCCTCTCCATACTCAAATGCAATGTAGTTAAAATATATTAAGGAACCATCATAAAATTAGGACTATTTCTGGATTTGTCACTTTTTGATATTTTCTTCCCTAACTTTGACTATCTCGGGTGAAAAAAAAATGTACTGAGCTATAACTTTACATTACATAAAAAAATTGCTCATTTAATAAAGATTTCAGAAAGGTATCACACTTACTGTTTTAAATAGAAAAAAAAAGTTATAGCCGCTTTTGTGGGTAAAGGACTGAGACACGCTAGAATGTATTTAATAGATTTAAATTGAATTTGCTCTTGTTACCGTCAAACGACATGCTAAATAGTACAAAGGTACATAATTACTTGCTTCTGACATTATTTTATGTTACTTACCGGAATTCGGACTAGAGTCTATAACAAGGGCTATATCTATCAATATTTTGTGTGAAGGATGGGTTCACGTGAAATAAGATATACATGAGTTGTTTGAAGAAAAATTTATTCATTTATTGATAAAATATGCTCAAATTGGCGACCTTCTACTCTAATACAAGCTCGGCACCTTTTAAGAAAAGACGCTTTTAGAGATCTTAAACTCAATTGGGCTATCTCAGCAGCAGCTCCATTTATTTGTTCCCGCAAATGCTCTTCGTTTTGAATTGTTTTTGAATAAATTTTGTCCTTAAGACAGCCCCAGTAGAAAAAATCTAATGGATTCAGGTCTGGCGATCGAGCGGGCCACGTGATTGGCCCGTATCGTCCAATCCATCGGCGAGGATAA